CCCTTCGACTACATTGAGTCTGTCCCTGGAAAAGTAGCCTCAACCATTGGTGTCAACTGCAACCCAGAATTCCTGGTTAATTATCCACCCAACATAGTCTAACCAGACCAGGAATCCTGGTAAAATTAGCCACGACAGATAATGATCAAAATTTAATGTATTCGGCACATGTGAAGTACGGCGTATGAAACGGGCCTTACCCCAAACAGTGTTCATCTCAAGTTAGCCAGGAAATTCTTAACCAGGGCGTTTTTAAAGTGCACGTAAAGGTTGGTGGCGACAGGGCCGCCGAAAGGGGAGCAGGAAAATTGCCCCGGGCCCCCGCCTTAATAGGGCCCCAACTTCAGAGCAAGAGCCCAAAATTCAGTAGGTTCTTTAAATTGGTCCCTTAAGTAGCTCCACATGCAGTCTAGCTAAGGTTTATAAAGTTGGGTGACTTGACTTGGGTCTAGCTTGAATAATGATGTCATGGGGCCCCCAGAGAAGATTTGCCTCGGGCCCCGCGAACTCTCTCGGCGGTCCTGGGTGGCGACTTAGATCATAAGCTAAACAAAATTGTATTTTTTTATTAAGATGGGATCCAACGAAACGTATTACAGCGAGTGAGGCGTTGAAACACAACTGGATCCTGGAAGTAAGATTGAAACAATTTTTTCCATATATACTTGTGTTATAGGATAGTCGATCATTATACAGTAATCGATCGATGCAGTAATCGTTGAATACAGCTACAGGCATAACCTGCTGTTAGCGAGCATAACTGTATGTAACCATGCTTCTGGCTATTTTGAGCAACTGGCAGGAAAACACAGCCTGAAATTTGGAAACACTCCTAAAATCTTTGGGCTACCTTGTACTACGACTTCAATGGTGTCAGCATGTTTAGGTCGATTAATGTTACTTTTTGTTTGTATTTTCCAACTGTTCCGTTCAATACTACATTATAGCCTATATAGGTCAAAATTGGCAAACAATGCCCATCCCGGTCAGGTGGGATTTAGCCTTCCTGTGGAAAATTTTATTGAACTTGACTGAGATCTCACCTATAGCGCAAGGTGGGGCCGCAGCAATGGACCATTTGCATTATAGACTAAATTTTGATCTAGACAAGTCTAGACAAAAATTTCATCACAGCTTGAAAGAGCATCACAAAATTAGTAATATTCCAAAGTTTCGTTGCGAAATGT